TTTTCATATTATGGTGTATTTATGTCATTCACTAATATACTGATTAATCGAGTTTCTTTTTACGTAAATAAAGATTTGAGAAGGAGGGAAATAATCACATAACATTAATTATGTAAAAAATGAAAGAATAACATACCGTATTAACTAATTGTCCAATTCTTAATTTGTCGAACTTAATTTACTCATACAAACATTGTACTGTGGGTGAGAAGGGAACATAGTCGTGGTCGGACTGCAGACAGTCCGCTGCCAATCATTATATCCCTGGCATGCGAACATACCACTGTGTGCGAAACGGAGTATGCAGAGGGTCAGGGGACGTTCTGCTGGTCGATGAGGGAATATGGCAGCACGGCAAGGGATGTGACGAGAGTGGTCGACGAGAGCACGCTCTCGGGAATGAGGGGGGTGACAAAGGGCGAGCACTATATTGGCATACCAACGGTGTGGGCGATATAGGAATACTTGAAGAACAACTTTATAGCGCGAAAGCCTGCCGACTCGAGATTCCTCCCTCGGAGATTGCCTACCTTCCTTCCTTCCTTCACTGGTGTGCAAAGATGAATACAAGACGGGAACTAAACTACGTGAACTCGCTGAGTATTAATATGGAATAAGTATACGTTGGAACAATATTAATGAAAAAAGGCAAAAAATTTGGGACATTTTATTTTACAAAATGCAACTTCTTAGTCTTTAAAATTTGGAATTAATTCTTAATCCTGATAATTATGCAAAAGACAGATTTCTCTTTCATCGATTTTAACGAAATTTATTACAATTACGTAAATAAGTAAATATATGACAATTGAGTTACCTAATCGAATTATCCCATAAAATTGGAAAAATTTGATGGATTTGTCATTCTAGCGGTTTGTGCCATTGCTAATTTATTTTGTAAATTACAAGATTACTTATTTTTTAAAATATCTTAGTTTAATTATTTTGAAAAACTCATATATTTTTTAATTAAGAATTATGAATGATTATAAAGAAGCGCTGAAATATTGCGCTTTATTGCGTAAATCGCGCTACAGAATGCTCGAGCTACAGAAATTTATGTATGCATGGCATCTTGATGGAGTTTTATTAATGTTGTTACCTCGATGTTTTATATTACTATTAATAATTTTCTTATTAATCAAGATAATTTTTTCCATTATCATCATATCTATATTCTGCTCCGCATCAAAATTTATACGGAGGTTAACTTTCTTTATGAAAAATATCCCTTCTGCATAAATAATCAATTTTGTATTTCTTTCTTTCTTTAAACAAGTTTCTAAATATTTAGTTGAAATTGCTTCCCTAAAGCGTTCGCGCGCGTCTGACCAAATCTCCGCATGTTCCACTGTTATACCAGCACACGTGTGTGTATATAAAGCCACGTGCATATGTCGGAATTCTCGAACGCAATCAAACGCAACGCATTTGACGTGATTGAAGCCATCAAGGCGTGCTTAAACGCTACTAACGGAATAACCTGCACCAAACACACAGATCGCGTGTCCGTATACTTTTCATCGTTATTAGCTGAAATACCGCGATTTATTCATTAGATTATTTTACTCTTTCAATTTCTTTGTATCCATTCTTACAAAAATCGTGTTTGTCAATTTCCTGAATTGAATAATGCTTCGACAGACCAATATACGAGTTAATGATTAATATTAATATTAGATAAATGTGTAATTGTGGATCTTAAATAATGAAAAAGAAAGAAGTTGGTTTTTTAATAGCAAGTTATATTAAGTTACGGTCTTCAAATGTTTGTTTTCCTTCACAATCACAATTACCTACTTATAATTTTCTCTTTTCTCTGTTTTTTTTTTTTTTTTTTTAATCGAGATTCTTTATTCTGCGAATTATCTGTGTCTTGCAAAACATGCTCGCATTACAAAACACATGTATCAAGCCAGATAGCTTGTGGAAAATGTGGCGGCGAGTCGCATAAGCGAGCGAGAAGGTCGGTCAGAGTGATTTAGGCGAATCAGTAACCCGCGGTGTTGCGTTACTTGTTTACTGCCGGAGCACCCGTTGCATTATTCAACAGCCGCCCATATTTATCAAGCCGATAGTCAAGCAGGGTGGCAGCAAGTACGAACGATACGTAAACGCGTAAAAGGAAGTAAACGATAGTGGGACCTTTGTTAAGGATCGTTTCCTATGGATGACTTTTCCTTTCTCCCGGTTGCAATTGGCTAAAAGCATAGATATTACATTGTACAAAAGAAACAAGATAAAAGGTGACTTTTCCAAGTCTTTTTGAGCCACATACAAGGTTGTAACTGATAGCAGAAATGGAAAGATAGGACATTTATTCAATTTTTTAAATTAATTTTTTCAAAAACGTAGCTTTTGTACGAAAAAATTTTATTGTAAATTTGATTACACTTTTTATATCTATAATCATTATTCTTCTTAGTTGTATCATAGTTATAGAATATCCTGGATAAATTTTCTAAGTACATTTCAATTCTCTTTATAATTTAAAGCACAGATTGAGATGCTTTTAGAAACACAAAAATTTACATTATTTTTGATCATTTCTAAAATTTTAACATTAAATGTATAAATATATTACACTTAAATTATTCCACAAAGATGGAAGCAAGAATACATCATTTTTGTAGAAGGGAGAAATTGCAATTAGCAAAGCGCGAATCATTTGCACGCAAGTATTCCGAGTGAAGGCGGAAAGCCATTAAGGAATATTCCCACGTGTAGGGCGCACTTAATGAGCGATATAATTTATTGGGTTTACTCGCGGGTAGTAGTTAATAGGGTCTGCGACCTACGACCCATTAACCGGAGGTCGATTGCGAGATATCGTTGGTGAACATCTGTCATACCTTGGGCACGATAGGTCAGAGTGGGACCAAATCCTAAATTACCTAAAAGAGTTTAAAATTGGACGAGAATACTAAAATTGTTCTGTTCGATCCCCAAATGATATCTGCATATACATAAGTAAAGAAACTTGGAAATCGTACGTGCTACTTAATTATTGAAAAATTTAAAGATTTATTAATTATTTAGAACATCTAATGAAGTTATAAAATATCTAGTGATGTATAAAAAATGAAATTGACGCTTCTATTATTGTTTCATATTTGTAAATTAAATGCAAATAAGGAAGAAAAACATTTAAATTTTCATATTAGATTATTGGAAAATTTAAAATAAATTTTTACTAACCATTTGATTATTTAAATATCTAGTAAAGTTACAAAAAGAAACGAAGCTTATTCTTTGGCTATTTTTATTTCTTCTGTTCATGTTCCACATTGTTTCATAGTCCTGAAGCAGCTTAAGTACTACTGCCATATTTATCACTGTAGTTCTTAGAAGTTTCGTTTGCAAATATTTATACAAGGTAGACAATTCACTCGCTTCTTCTCAGCTACAAACAAAGAATACAATAATACTGAACAGTGTAACGCGACAATATAATCCCTCACAACACTAAGTTATCAGCCATTCCTCTGCTAACCTACTTATATAATGGTGTTCATAAATTGTTATATTCTATAACTTAGAAACTTTGAGGACTTTATATTAAATGTTTTATATATTATACATATATATTCATTTGCCTATTTTATTATTTCGAATCATATATGTATCAACTTCAAAAACTTTCTTCTATCCTCTTGGACATTTATGTAATATAGTCCAGACAGTCAGATCTATCAAAAACAGATTTTGCAAAGTGCCTACTACAAATTTTGTCGACATAATGTAGAAACATAACGAAATTTACTTAAAGATTATGACGACAGAAACCGAATCTACCATTTAAATGGTTACAAAATGATAGATTCTGCTCGGTTTCTGCTGGCAGTCTGCTGTCAGATTATGTCGACAGATTCTGCCACTAGAACACGAGCTTAATGCGGACGCAGTTGATGGCTATCTACCGCAATCTGTTCGAATCTGCGGGCAAATTACTAGTACTGCTAATATATTGCTTATTGGAAACTTAACAAATAAAACTTATTTAATTCTTGACTGATTTGAAAAAGTTGACACAATTAGTGATAAAAGATTTTCACACAAACCTATTTTTTTAATTCTTTGAAATAATTGTTTCGGGAGAAACACGAGTCAGGGCATATTTGTAAAATTCGTTATAAACTAATATTTACAAAACAGGATCTTTATTCGTCTATATATCTTTTTTATTTTAATTTCAATCTTTTCACTGTTAGAAACACACTTAAAGTTCTCGAATTTAAATATCGGTCAGAATGTCAGAATGTCAATGAAATTTTTATTTAGTTCAACAAGCACTTATATATCACACTTACATGACACTGTCATATAAACAGTAGAGCATGCGTCATCATTTTTCCCCTTTATAAGGATTATTCCTTTGTAATTGTACTTGGCCATTTTTACGAGATTTTATTTTCACCACTGTGCTGTCATAGCCTGAGATAGCATTCGTTACACAAAATAAATCTGTATTTTACAGCTTTGTCCGGCACACTGCACGCGTTATTCCATCACTTTATTCCCCGTGACCCAGTCGAGCCGCTTAACTGGCTGTACAAGCTCGACGTCGCTCACCACCGACATTCCATTCTTCGTTCTCCATATCGAGAGGTGTCGGTGTCGCATTCCGTCCCATCCTATTCTATAGGAAGGCCGATCATGTCGGTTATAGGGACGGCAAAAATATTGCGCGGCAGATAGGGGTAGAAGGGAACCAACGGTACCTCTAGAGAAGAACTGAACATTTTTCTAGCTCCCCTCCAGCCCCTCCACGCCGGCAAGCACGCCCATCCCTAGTAGTGGGGGGTGCGCACCCTGTAGAGGTTGGTGGGGCAGTCAGAGGTTGCGGTGGTAGTGGTGGTGGTGGTAGTCTCCGTGGCGAAGTCTGACCGTTACGGCACCAGTACTACTGTCGCCACTATCACGAGTGCAGGTCATCACGGGACTCAATCATGGACATACTGGGTATGTCCTATTCAAAACCAAGCATGCACTACTTAACTGCTTATTGATCTCGTTTGTTCGATATGCTCCGATTGTCGAAATCGATCCGCTCCCTCGGGGAAAAGAAAATTTTACGAATCATGTTTCATCGCGGCCGCACGATTTAACTCGCGAGTGTCGGCGGGACTGTCTTCGACCCTTTCTTAATCGTGAGACTTCATCTGCATCAAAGGATTAAGGTATTGTGGCTGAAAGGAAAAATTTCAAAATTATTGGATTGGTGATTCTATTACATTTCTTTTTAAATCTTTTTACTACTCTCTCTCTCTCTCTCTCTATCTCTCTTTTTCTCCCTCTTTTTTTCTCTTTTTCTTTTCGGAACAAGTAATCTATTAGACAAAAAGATATTACGTGATTTATGTTTGAGATTTCGCTTTACATCTGCATTAACAGATTAACTCATTGTAGTTGGAAAATGAAGATAATAGTGTTTATTAAACTTATTTCCTCAAAGTTTGTCAAATTTTTGCATCTATTTTTTATTTTTTTCAATAAAATTCTTTTAAATATATACATATATATGAAATTTGTGAAACTAATTTTGCTTAAAATACAATAAAATTAAGTGTAAAATTTTAATTTTTGAAATCACTGGTTTTATTTACTAAAACATGATAAATAATAACAAATTTTAAATTAAATCAGCATAGACAACCAGTCGAGCAATTTAAATAAAAAAGACATTTTTTAGTCCATTGACAAATAAATAAGCATGTGTTCGCAGTGCTAGTATCTCTGACAAATGTATTGTTATATTTATTGGATCTATTTTATGTGTGCGTTTGTATTAAAAATATTGGAGTCAGTTGAAACAAATCAGTTTGAACAAAATACATATGTGTTTGTGTGGAAAATAAAAAAGAATGTCTTGTGGATCGTTTATTCACTTGTGTCAGTTGTGTTGTGTCTCGTTTTTTTATAAAAACATTGATGTATTACTCCATACCATCCTAGTCTTCGCTTTTGTGAAAAAGATATCACAACGTTTAGTTTTTACAAGAAGGTGATCAGTTTTTGTGAAAAAGGAAATATTACAGCATTTAATTTTTAAATTCTTTACTTATTTTAATTTAAATTCTTAGACTTAAATTGTCAGATACGCCTTATATTTTTTTATGCCTTTAGTAACTTTCCTTATCTGATTTAATATACATATTTTTGATATATAAAAAATCCGTTTTATTAGGTAGAAAATAAAGTTTTATTACCTATATAAGCTACTTATTTTCCATCTCAATATTAAAATAATTATTTTGTTTAAAAAAACTAGTTAGGAATTTTAAAATACTCTCATAGTCAAGAAGATTCTCATTTTTTAATGAAAAAACTTGCTTCTGATTCAAGTCGTAGCAGTGGCAAATACTTTTTTCTCAATTATACATTTTTATTAGCTTTTATGGATGAATAAATTCCTCTTTAAAAGTAAAAAATTTCTAATATCACTTTAATTAAAAAAAAATGATATTTATTCATATCATTTGATCGATTGGCACTTTGATAGAATTATTCGATACCCTTATATTCATTACACGAAAGAAATATCTTTATTAGCAAAAACCAGGCTTTTGCTTCATCTCCATTACGATTACGATTCGATTATCGATGGTGGAGATTGAAATTCTGCTGTAACTCAATTTATAATGAAAATCTTCGAGTAACTTAGTCGATGGATGTCGAGATCGTTCTTGAGATAATTCTCTTCCAGACACCGGAAGCATAATTGAATTTCACGTCATCGACTTAGAAGCGTGTCCGCCCCGAAATAAGCTTGTCCCCTTGAGCTCACCTTCTAATGAGTACCATCTGTCCTTGCATCTCTTCTTTGTAAGGTTTGCACTGCTGTCACATACTCGACCTACTTTTATTTTATGCAACTTCTAAATTTAAAAAGAAATAAGTGTGTCTATAGATGGCCTTGGATGATATGACAAATAATGTTATACAAAATCTCTTTCTAGATAATCTGTGAAGTATTCCATAGAATTAGTATTTTATAAAAATTACTTATATCCTAATTTAAATATTAAATTATCTAAAATAATTATAATTTATGTAATCTATCCGTGTCTCTCTAAACAGATTTGCAAAAGAAATCTTGGATACTGCTATATATCTTTAGATTATCTATAAGTAAACCAATGATATATCAACAATAAAATCGAAGATTAAAAAGTAGTGAAAAATAAAATTGCTCAATGAAATATTGTTCCCTTAAAAGGTCTCTGACTATTTTTAAAACTAGTATGTTTTAAGTGTGCTTTTGAGACTTCCTGTATTCCCTCGATGCTTCAAAAATGCAACAGAGCGGACACACCTGCACCATTTCAAGATAAACGAAATATTGAGGGCGGAAATGTCGAAGCGAAGGGCGATTGACTATATACTGTATAGACTGATGTTTTCACGAATAATCCTATTGTTTAATCGAACAATCAAATTTTGCGAGAGAGAAGAAAATTTATCGCGTTTAGTAAACAGAATTTCTATCTGATAAAGTATTATTCGGGCATGTAAAAAAATTAAAATGTATTCTTTAATATACATAAATGCTTGAAAAATATGTATTTAATTTCCTTTTTTTGTTTTATTAATGACAGAATTTTCGTGTTAATGAATTCAAAGAAAGAATAACGCAAACGCAAGTCTTGTCAAACATTTTGTATTTCAGTTTTTCCGCTGAATTAAAGATTACGTAACATTGAACGATGGTACTGTCGTTTTTCTCCCTCAAGCAGAAACTTTTCGATGCTACTTTCCTCGGTTTGTCTCATCCAGGCGATAAAGTCTTGCCAGGAAAAGTCGGAAGTCCGCTGTAAATTTATATTTCGGAACTCTCGAAGGAATCGTTTAGATATGGCGTCTATTATTGTACATGTAAGTCAGTGATCATGTCTTAACCAGATCCATTTAATATTAGTAAGAAATTGTTTTAATTATTTTATATACTACTATTGAATTTAAGAAAAAGAAAGAAAGAGAAGAGAAGAGAGAAGAGAGCAAGTAAAAATAAAAAAAGCGAACTATTATAGTATGTGTATTTATCAGTGAATATACAAATAATGTATACATTTTTAAACAATACCTTTCTAAATAGCTTATTAAAGATTTCGAATTGTTTGATAAATCTTGTTTCATTATATAACAAATCATCCAATACAAAACTTATTGTTACTCTTTCAAGACTGAAGCGTATGCACGTGCGTGCATGCGTGCACGTAAAACGTCCGCGAGAGGGGCATTCGATCGTATGAGCAAATCAATATACTACTACGAGCCATAAATAACACGTTGACAAAACAGTCTAATGTTCTTTCCCCCTTTTCCGCCGAAGAGAATAACACGCGTGCACATTGGCAATAGCACGCCTGCGTTGTAAGTTATTGCGCTTCTGGAGTTGAGATCGAAGCAGAGCTACATCCTTCTTTTGTCTCTTTCCTTTCGACAAATATGACCAATAAGAAAGATGACAGATATTAATACAGCAAAGTTTTTCGTTACAAGCTTATATTTTAATTTTTCATTTAAAAAACTAGAGTTGACTGGTTAAATAAACAATAAATGTGCATGTAAGTGTTTTTGAATGTAATTGATATAGGTCAAAATTTTGATAATTCTGTATACAAAACTCTTCCGTCATTATATTGAAATAAAAAATATGTCCATTATAGAATATCCCTTTCAAAACCCTTCAGTTTTTATGAACGAAAATATAAGACATATTTTTATGTTACTAATAATTTCGACAATATTCCATCAAAATGAAACATCCTGTTTATAAAACTTGCTAGAATACTTTGGATAATATTCTGAAATAATGGTATTGCCTGAAATATCCTGAAATAATGACTCGATATATATAAATTCAGAAAAGATTTGCATCATCAGAAGAACGAGGATCGTTGAAAAATTCTTCCTACGAGAATAATATATGCTTATAACCTTGTAACATACATTAATTCCAAACAGTGCACTTGCACGATGCGACGTGTAAAATTGCTGAACGTCTTCGCTCTCCTCTTTTCGCTTATTCGACAAAGTCATTCTCATGTAGTCAGCAACCCGCCGCGATAATGGAGGCCATATCTACTACAATGCGAACAACGAGCAGTAAAGTAAAACGGCTACATATGCAAATATCTACACACAATCATATTTGATCTGATAATTATAAGATAATATTAAAGTCTAATATTAAAGTTTATATTAAAAAAACATCTTTTTAAATCTTTTTAAATGTATTGTAATGAATGTATTTTTTTAAATCTATAACTTTTTCTCCCGTTTCCCTCGTTTTCTAAACAGCGTTTAATACTTTCGTCTTCTATGAGTTATCAAAATTCTTCCTGTAATAATTACTATTGTTATTGATTTTTTAATCATTAAATATATCATTTCCTATAACTTATCTCAACGTTCACGATACGTCTCGACAATACAAAGGTTAAGCATTACGCGATAACCACACGGATAACCGCATGACCATTGAAATTCTCCTCTCCTTTCGTCTCTTGAGGCAATTGCGATCGGCTCACGAACCGTATCGTAGGTTGAAGCAGCCTGCCGTGCGACTCGACAATCTCACGAAGTAACTTCAGACATACAGTGTGAACCTACTGCGATTTAACCACGAGAGAAATTACCTCGCCATTGTATAATCTAAAGCGAGTTTGTATCGTACGAATCAATGCGTGTTGTAGCTGCCAAAGGAATAATCAATAGGACTAATTCCGTGTTTCGAATACGACTGACGTTAATATTTCGGAAAAAAGCAAAGATCAAATTTGGATAACTGAAGATCAAAACAAGTTGTATTGGTTAATATAAGATTTATAAAACAGAAATACAATAATAGTAAAAATTTTACATAATATCTACCAAAAATAAAGCAAAAAAATTGACCAAAAGCGTTTTGATCTTTATTTTAAATTATTATCAATTTAAAGAGAATAAAATATTTTCACAATCACAACAATTACATAGAAAATTACAAAAGCATTATATTATTTCCCATTTTGTGTCTGGTTCATATCGGCTTTTAGAATTTGCATGAATATTAAACACAAAAATTGTTGGAAAAAGTTAAATGCACGTTTGTGTTATTAAGCGAATAATAAAAATTGAGCTAGAAATTCAAAGTCACATGTTATATCCAAGTACTTATCCAACATTTTCTGAATGA